TCTTCGGAGTAATGTCGGGTTAATCTCGCTCTTGGGTCGTCAGCGAGATTGGAAGCGGGCTCTCTTGTGTACGTGTATAGCCGTCTATAGAAAGTCTCGACTTCCCTCAAAAGCTCAGGCCTCGACGATATGATTCTGCCATCGTCAGTCTTCAGCTTGTTTAACCGGCTATGTCCAGCAGTCAGATCTCTTGCAAAAACTTTGAAGTCTCTGTTCCGCTCTATTGCGTCTTTGATATGTTCGGTATTATACCGACGCAGATCGCGCTTAAGAGACTTTGAGATCCGCTTGCTGAGCTGCCGGTATCGACAAGCATCACTTGACGAATGCAAAACCATCTCACGTCTTTCCTCCATGAGCTCGAGAGTATAGTCCGAGAGCTTTCTGGTGGTATTGGTGCGGCGGGTCTTAAAGTACTTGGACCCCACCGTACGTAAAAAATCCGTCATTGTACTCGTCCACATCGCCATTTAGACATTCGAAGCGATTTTGGAGTTCAAGCTGGAAACTTTCGCAGTTTTGGATTTGGATGGGTATTGGCCGGAGTGTAGGCTTCATCAAGCAAGATCTCTCGAGCACGATATTAAGATTCAATGTGCCTCTTACCATGCGGTGATCGCAGCCGCACTTAAGCGAGTTGATCACAGAGACATCATTGAATATGTGCTTTTTTGTCGACATGATGAAGTCTATCTCATTCTTGGTTACCCCGTCGGGGCTGATCCAGGTCCACTTTCGCTGTTTGGGCTTCTTGAAAAAGGAGTTCATCATAAAGAGTTCCTCCTTCTCCATGAAGCCAGCCAGCATGTGGCCCCGATGATTCCGACTTCCAAACCCAAACTGTCCCAGTCGTGAATCTTCACCGCTTCGTTTTCCTAGCTTGGCATTGAAGTCTCCCATGACAACGCTGTAGTGGGTTCTGGAGTTATGTAGGGCTCTGGAGATGTCATCATACATAATTTCCACCTCATCGTCTGAATGTGCCGAGGTCGGGGCATACACCTGAATGACCTTCAACGAATACCGTTTGGTTATTCTGAGTATCAGGAGCGCCACCCTGGCCGACACACTCTCGATCTTCACTACATTGTGGACAAGGGACTTGTGGACTAGAAACCCGACACCACCCTGGGACTGATGGTCGCCACCCCGGAAATGGAGCAAGTTACCGGATTTAAGGATTATCGAGTCCTCCCCCTGTCTTCGGACTTCAGATAGTCCTAGGATACCCCATCGTAACTTGCTCAATTCTTCCTCTAGTTCGACAATCTTCTCGTCGGTCCGCAGTGTACGCGTGTTTAGTGTTGCCAGGTCGATCCGTCGTTGTTTGTGGTAGCCGGATCTCTGCCGGAGATTCTTAGCACCCCTTGCCCCGCCGTTACCTTGGTCGCTACCACGATGACCAGGAATAGCGGAGCCGCCGGGGACTAGGGGCCGGTTTGTGGTCGTGTTGTGCATGTTGGGGGGTTTTTGCCATAATCGCCACGCTTGGCAGGCGGGTTGGCGATCGCAGTTGGATTTAAAAATGTACTCGGATGACGCTGCTGCCCGTCATCCATCTTTTTATTCCCTTAGTCGCCTTTTACGACACCCACGCGAGGAAATGGGGTGGTAACATTCTAAGCCGGCACCACACGGCAAACATAATTAAACATAACTAACTATATCAACATTTATAAAACATGCTATTTATTGTTCAATTTTTTTGATAAATATAGATTTTTATTACCAGATAATGCAATGTCATATCAATAGTGTTTTTATTAGATAAAATAACAAAAACATTATTATATATTTTATTATCATGTTACAATAAAACAAATACTTTATTTATTTCAGTTAAAACTCGAACACAAAACTGTTCGAAAGAGTTAAGCCTGTTTAAAGCTCTATTTCTGAAATTGAAGGAAAAATGTAAGACCCAAAAGAAACATTCTTCAGGCAAAGAGACTGTCACAGAATAAGGCATATTTAAAAGACATAGAAAATCTTCTAGAACCAATAAGAATTTTTTTAAATTTACAATTGAAAAAATCATCTATTTTGCCAAGTGGTAGAAGATTTACTACACAGAAGAAGATACTGTGCTTGACTATATATAAACAAAGTCAAAAGACTTATAATATATTACAAAAACTATTTTCTATCTATCTTATCTAAAAGAACCATGCAGAAAGTTTTAAGCTGTACATATATCCCTTACCGCAGGTGTAAATGACATCATTATTGAATATACTAAAAAAGCAGTCATTAAGTTAAGTAATGAAAAAAAAGTGTGTTCTTTAATATTTGATGAGGTGGCATTATCACTGCGCTTTTTTACCAAAAAAAAAATGGACGAAACCCTTGGATTTGAAAATTTTGGTTCACATAAAACCAATAAATTAGCAGACCATGCCTTGGTATTTATGTTGAAAGGCCTTAAAAGCAAATATAAACAGCCAATTTTGTTTACTTTTTGCCACAGTGCAACAAAAAGTGTTGATTTGAAAGTTATCATTAAAAATGTAATAACACAAATACAAAGCACTGGACTAATTGTAGTATCAATAATTTGCGACCAGTCGCCAACAGTGATATATGCGGCCCAAATGTTCAGCCAGCGAGTATCAGCAGCTATGCAATTCTTAGCAAGTTAGTATATATTCTTTTCATAGTAGTAGTAAGTTTTACTTATTATGTTGACGTAAACTTTCTATGTACTTAACATATCTATATAGATATAAATATATATATATTTTCTCATACAACGCCATCTCTGATACATAACATGTACTACGAATCAATATTTTAAGTATGTACATGGTGCTTGTGCATGATACATTGTTTGACAGCTACTCATTGTTCTCTGCTCAGTTAATTTCATGTGACAAACCGCTATTGTGTTTGTAGTTTGAACTCTTAAAACCATTTAGTATTAACGGGATAAATTTAGAAAATCATTGTTTTTCATATGGGCAGTTATACTGTGCGTATTCACGAGTTGGAAACCATCCGCTTTATTTGAGTTAACGTTAGACCAAAAAACAAAAAAATGTGGTTTACAAAGGAACACTTCAATGAAACGGATAATTTGCGGACACGTATAACGCTTCGATTCTGTATCTAATTTGGATTCACTTTCATTTACTTAAAAAAGTTCAACTAAATAACACTTAATTTTTGTTATCGAAATGAATTCATTACTGTTGTGAAATGAAATAAATTTTCTTTTTCAAAAATAAAACAAAAAAAAAATTCTCCATCTTTTAATCACCAAACGAAATGTTACATAAAGCAAAGCCAAACGGAGTTGGCCGGGTTTACTAGTTACTAATATAACAGCTTTTTACTCCTGAGGTTGTCTGTAAGAGATCACTATAAGTGTTAATACTTATGTTTTCTCTTGTCTTTTGCTTTTATTAACAATAAAGAAGTTTATCTATCTATCTAATGATAAGACCTATTTCTAAAAATAATTTTAATTTATTTTTTATTTCCAGATCATAATATTTTGCCAAAAGAGTGTGTCGCCACAGCTGACCTGCTGCTTCTTGTAGATAAACTTTTTGACTCGTTCAATGGTCATAGTTATCAGGAAGATGCTAAATTATATAGGATTGCATTGAAAACGAATTCTCCATATTCCAAACTGTGGGATGAAACATTACCTGTATTAAACTCAATGAGATTTGAAGTAAATAAAATTGGTATAAAAAAAATTATTGTGATAGCATCCATTAAAAATTGGATACCTTACATTCATGCCACAAGGGAGTTATTTTTTGAGTTAAATAAATATCATGGCGTAGGCAGTCTTTTAACAAGAAACTTAAATCAGGATCCCTTAGAGATTTTTTTTTTTGTAATATTCAAAGTAATGGGATCCGTAATGTATCTCCAACTTGCTCTCAATTTGTTGGAGCATACAAAACTTTACTTGTAAATAATTTAACTTCGCGGCATTCCATTGGTGCAAATTGTGAACACACAATAACAAAAAATTTAAAACCTTTAAGTTGCCTTATTAATTCGCAATTAAGAGTAAGAGATACATTAAATGAAAAAATAAATGTGGATTCTTTACTTACTTTGTTGCAAGAAAATGTCAATTTAATATGTCAGCATAGAAGCTAAATGCTATGTTGCTGGGTATTTAGTACATAAATGTATTAAAAATGTATGTAAAAATTGTAACACATGTTAAATACAGTTGTTAAGCACAACATCTCCTGCTAATGATAACTATATTTTATTTAGAGATTACACTAAAAAAACCTGTAAGTATCCGTAGGAGGTGTTGTGTTAATTTTTAGATTATGTTTGTGCAGTCATAGAAACACAATAAGGTAAAGAACCACAAACAAAAGATATAAAAGAAAAAATATTCAAACAGCTGATTTATAAAGTGATTTTTCATACCATACTCATAAAAACCTTAAAGGAGTTTTATTAAATTATATCATACATTGAATAATTCATAGTTGGTGCACCATTGTTAAAAGGCTGCTTACGGGAAAGTTCACAAATTGTCCAAATAATGAGGATAATGTTAAAGTCCAAGCGATTACATATTATAATACTCACAAAAAGAAAAAAATAAATATTTGAATATATGTTCTGCTTTTAATTTTACTTATTTTTTTTTAAGTATGCTAAGTAAATAGAGGCAAAAACACCAGAAGTTAGATTTTTGAACCTATGCACATTATTTAGACTTATTTTAATTTTATTATTAACTTTAATCAACCAAAGAGTAAAGGTAATAATAAAATTGAAATTTGCATTTTCCCTATTAAATTCGAATAACATTAAGCGCCATCTAGTGATACCTCGTCCTAGCTAGTAAATGCAGCGACATCTAGACTGACCATAGAAGGCCTTACCACGAGCGGGCCTGGGAGGGGAGGGGCCTCGGCTGATCCGGTCGTTATTCAATACATGTTATATATATATATATATATATATATATATATATATATATATATATATCTATATAGTATACTTTGAGACTACGTTAGGAATCCGGAACGCCAGCGCCAGTAGCGGCACTCGATGGAGTTTGTGTAAGCGTGCGCCAGAGCCTAGAGGGGAACGTGGGACATCACTTCTCTCCAGCGTTCGGCTCGTGCGGTCACAGAACTATCGCGCAGTCCGGTCTCATACTTGAACTGTATTACTGAGTGAATATACCTTGGTTGATTGAGTGTGTTTTCTTGATCCTACGTCTCCCACCGATAGACGCCCACATAAGAAAACTATGAACAATAACGGTGATATTGGCCCTCCGCCGTCATATACAGGGTGACTGGTGAATTACTATCGATATTTGAGGACGTGATATTTGACGATCATATATGACAAAATAAAAATTAATATAACATAAATATTAATAAACTTCTAAGTAAAGTTAACCAAAAGTTATGTAATTAATTACGCATCGTATGAACACCCTACAGATTAGGTATACACTGACACTCACACATACGCATGTCGTGACGTGGTGTTGTATCAACACGTCGCCGCACGCGTCCACACTTGAACACTTGGAACGTGTCAACACTTTACTTATTTATACGGAAATTTTGTCAAAAATTAAGTGCCTATTTTTTTTACATAATTCGAATGAGAATCATGTACCGAGTATGCTCCTTAAATATTGATAGTAATTCACCAGTCACCCTGTATATATATATATGGCGAACGGCACAGACTATACATTACAATAACAGACACAACAAAGACGATACAGACGTATGACATACAAAATAATAATGAAAATTCTTAAAAATCCTTATATGTACTCTTATAATGTTATATATCGATAACCCGCCAGTCTAGGCCGTGTGATGGTGGGTGCGTCTCTTACAATCTCTCTGTGAGCGTATGAACTCAGCGTTCAGGTTTCTGCCGTTGGAGAATCTGGAGCGACCCCAGGAGTGGGACTCGCGGTCTGAGTTCCTGGAATAATGACGTCATTAGATATACACACACATACACACACACACACACACACACACACACACATATACACACAGTCATACAGGGTTATACAAAGAAATTGTCGTTACAAGTGTCGCCATCTGTGCCGTACTAATGACACAACACAGTATAATCCTTACAATTATTATGATGAGTGATTATAATGAATGATAATACTGAATCATTGTAATGTTGTATCAACATGAGCATCAACTTGTGTTTGTAAACTATACATACTGGCTTCACTTATTCTGAGATCTAAGATTTTCGCGAGTACTCATTTAAATGAAACTAATATTTTTCGGATTTTACTTCGCGTTTTATTTTTGATTAAAAAACTACATACTCCCGACGTTTCGGCTACTTTTCAGTAACCGTGATCACGGGCAGACGAGATGTGAGTGTCTGTCAGTTGGTCTGGTTATTTTATCTCCTACCGCCATCGATTTCTTAATTGTCTTGCGTACCGCTCTGGATGCAGGCAAAATGCGCTCACGGTGTCTCGAGGTCCTGCGGTGTGGTCACGGACATGGGATTTTATATTTTTAAGAAGAGGATCCCAGGTGTTTGATAGGTTCCAGCCACCTTCTCTATTGAAATTGGGGTGTTTTTTTAATTTCAATAGCCTCGCGGATTAACCTTGGTATATATCTGTCTTCACGAGCGAGGATATGTGGTTTATCAAATCTAATGTAATGGCCTGGTTTGTCCAATGCATGTTCACACACTGCTGACTTCGACGCGCGCCTATTCCTGACGTCTGAAATGTGTTCCTTAACCCTTGTACCGATGCTTTTCTTTGTCTGTCCGATGTATGACAAGCCACAGTCACAATCAAGTTTGTACACCCGCTTGTTGTAAAGGAATGTTACTCTTGATTGGTCTCAAGAATTGGCTCACTTTCTTATGTGGTTTATAAATAGTCTTGATTGAAACCTTCTTCAAGATGTTGCCTATTCTGTCAGTAACTCCCTTTACATATGGTAGAATTGCAAGTTGTCGCTCAACTGTAGGTGGCTTCATCTGGTTCTTGCGATGCTGGCGAGGCACGGGCAGGCTGTTGATGGTCAGAGCACGTCTTACATGCTGCAGCTCGGCCTCTAGGTGGTCAGCATCACAAAGGTGTTGTGCTCTCTGTAACAAAGATTTACCAACGGTAGCTAACTGTACAGGGTGGTGGTGTGATTTACCATTGAGATACCTATCCGTATGTGTGGGTTTCCTATAAACAGTATGTCCCAAAGTATTGTCAGGATTCTTGATGACTAGTATATCAAGGAAAGCTAAAGAATTATTTGCCTCTAATTCTATAGTAAACTGGATCTTATTATTGATAGAATTAAGATGGTTCAAGAAAGCAGATGTTTTGTTTTTATTTAATATTGTGAAGGTGTCATCTACATAGTGTTTATAAATTAAGGGTCTTATTGTAGGAGAGCAAAGGGCTCGCACCTCAAAGTCTTCCATGAATATATCTGCGACAACGGGGGAAACCGGCGAACCCATTGCTACTCCATCTACTTGTATGTAGAATTCATCCTTCCACATGAGATAGCCAGATGTTAGGCAATGCTTTAACAATTCTGCATATTCAATAGGCATCTTATTATTCTTTAACTTACCTCTTACAATCTCAATGCATTCAAGAACAGGAAGATTAGTGAATAATGACTGTACATCAAAACTGACCATAATGTCATTGTCTGTCAATTTTAGGTGTTTAATGTCATTGACAAACTGGTAGGAATCCTTAACAAATGACTTTGTGTGGCCCCGGAGTGGTGATAATATATTTGAAAGGAATTTAGCCAGTTTATAAGTTGGTGAATCAATCTGGCTTACAATTGGCCATAATGGAACATCTTGTTTATGGATTTTAGGTAACCCATACAATTTCGGTGGTTTTGAACACGATGGTACGAGTGATTTGATATCCAGATTGAGTTAAGAACTGTATTTATTAATTAATAATTTTGTTTCCGTTGAAACTTTAGTGGTCGGGTCTTTGTTAACTTTTTTATAAACAGAATTATCCGAAAGAATTTCAGTTATTTTACTATCATAATCACTCGTATCCATTACTACGATCGCGTTCCCTTTATCTGCACGGAGGACAGTCAGGTCTTCATTGTTGCGTAGGTGTTTTAGTGCAAGTGATTCCTGACGAGAGATGTTTTGTCGAGGCAATTTGCTCCGGCGCAGAACATATGATACGTCCTGCCGGATTGCCTCAGATTCCTCTTTCGTGACATGATTCTTATGAAGACATTCCTCAACGTTACAGATAATGTCTTCGAACGGTAATTTTGACGGTGCAGGTGCAAAATTTAATCCTTTTTTAAGGATCTCAACGGTTTGTTTATCTAAAGTTTGCTTTGACAGATTGACAACAGTCACCGGTGACTGTGTTGCCTGACTTAAATTAATATTATAATTATTGCCATTGTTATTTCGATTTATAATTTTATCCGTTAATTTTTTTAATTTATTAATTTTAAAATTTTTAGACTGATTATACGTGAATTGTTCACGTTTATTAATAATATCAAAACATTTTTGCCAATCTGTCATTGTAAAACATTTTTGTATTTCATGACTCAGCAAATCAATTTGAAAATCTAACTGCCGTGCATCCGATCGATGTTGTCTAATAAGATGACAAAGTAACCGTTTACTTGCCTGATGGAGTTTCCTGCTGCTATGTTTGATGTCTTTTTAGGTGATATTTTGACACATGTTGGTATAATGTCATGATCCCGGCATCTCTTGAGGAAATTCAAGGATGTTAATAATCTAGCTTTCTTCGTCTTGAGGTACTCCAACCGGCGTATTTTGTTGGCAATTTCCAGTCCGTACTGGTTCACATAATGAGATCTAAGATTTTCGCGAGTACTCATTTTTCGCGAGTACTCAGTTTCGTTCCAAGCGTGCAGAGTGGCGGCGTGGCGGTAACGCTCGTCGTCAAACAACTCCCGCGTGATCCGGTTCGAGGACACTGCCAGGCGGGGAGTTTGACTGGGGCGGTACATCTGTCAAAGAATAACGCAGGTGTCCTAAGGCCAGCTCAGCGAGGACAGAAACCTCGCGTGGAGCAAAAGGGCAAAAGCTGGCTTGATCCAGATGTTCAGTACGCATAGGGACTGCGAAAGCACGGCCTATCGATCCTTTAGTATAAAGAGTTTTTAGCAAGAGGTGCCAGAAAAGTTACCACAGGGATAACTGGCTTGTGGCGGCCAAGCGTTCATAGCGACGTTGCTTTTTGATCCTTCGATGTCGGCTCTTCCTATCATTGCGAAGCAAAATTCGCCAAGCGTTGGATTGTTCACCCATCAAAAGGGAACGTGAGCTGGGTTTAGACCGTCGTGAGACAGGTTAGTTTTACCCTACTGATGGCTCGTCGTTGCGATAGTAATACTGCTCAGTACGAGAGGAACCGCAGTTTCGGACATTTGGTTCATGCACTCGGCCGAGCGGCCGGTGGTGCGAAGCTACCATCCGCGGGATTATGCCTGAACGCCTCTAAGGCCGAAGCCAGCCTAGTCGAATCCGGCAAGGATACGCTTACTGTGGAGCTCCGAGAGTCGGGAGGCTCTAAACAATGTGACTTTACTAGTTGCGCTTTATTCGTAAGGTGCGACGTCAGAGCCCATTTGGAACGCGGCGATCGATGCTAGCGGTTTTAACACGTGCATCACGGCGCCGAAGTTTCGAATTTATCTCAGTTCGATGTCGGAGCTCGGAATAGTCTGTAGACGACTTACGTTCCTGGCGGGGTGTTGTGCTCGGTAGAGCAGCGTCGTGCTGCGATCTGTTGAGACTCAGCCCTGCGCCAGGTGATTCGTCTAAGGACGACTCGTTAGTTTTAAAATGTTCTATTATATATAACACAATTATAAAACGACCACCAACAAAAATTATAAGATGAATAATAATATATAACATGAGATTGATAGAGAGATTATGTACTTTAAAATCAATGATAATAACTTCTGGTTAAAAAGGGGGCACCAGAGATAATAAAATTATGATGATGATGATGATGTATGTGTGGGTTGGTGGTGTGTGTGTGTGTGTGTGTGTGTATTATATAAATACATATATATGATAGACGAAAAATAAAACAAATTGCAAGACATGCAAAAAGAGTAAGTTAAACGAAAACACAATCGATCACACTCTAATGTGATACCATACCAAAGCACCACACATAACCGTCGTTAGCGAGTCGGGAGAGCCGCCGCCGACGCTGGTCTTTGTGGTGGTGTTAACATTGTTTCGCTTCAAAATCATATTATCATATCGGGAAACTACGTCTCATGGGGACCACAACATCCCCATGAACGTGCTCGATATGGTTGCCAGAAGCGTACCCAATAATTGCTGGCGTAACATGGCGAAAAAAACGTTTAATACACGAACATGTCTATTCAAATAAATTTAGAGAAGGCTTGAAACACTTAATACACGAATATGTCTTTTCACTAAATTCGGCACACTTGAATCTCTAATACAAGAACCGGGAATACACATGAGTAATATGATATGAGTAACTTAAATTTTTCTAAGTCCTTTTGATACACGAACAGGGAGTGTGCAACATAAAAAACCTTCATGATTTACGTGTTTCGAAGAATTCGATCACTCTAACACATTATCAAGCATGTATATAATAGATTTAAAACACATTAAAAAGAATATAAAAGAAATATGTATTTTCAATATCACTTTATCATACATACATATCTATGTAAGAACTCTACCGAAATACGACAAAGTCCAAGACGCTCATCGCGACGTACACGTTTGGTACTGAAACAGTGTGTTATAATACATATGTATATGCGTTACGAATAGATCGAGTACTTTATTATTTTACAATTTTATATAGAACTCATGCATATAAACGATATATAATGATCGAAACTTTATATAGATGAAATAATTTTAACATCGTATACGAAAATTTTCAAAGTCCTTTTGATACACGAACAGGGAGTGTGCAACATAAAAAACCTTCATGATTTACGTGTTTCGAAGAATTCGATCACTCTAACACATTATCAAGCATATATATAATAGATTTAAAAAAAACACATTAAAAAGAATATAAAAGAAATATGTATTTTCAATATCACTTTATCGCTCATCGCGACGTACATGTTTGTACTGAAACAATGTGTTATAATATATATGTGTATGCGTTACGAAAAGATCGAGTACTTTATTATTTTACAATTTTATATAGAACTCATGCATATAAACGATATATAATGATCGAAACTTTATATAGATGAAATAATTTTAACATCGTATACGAAAATTTTCAAAGTCCTTTTGATACACGAACAGGGAGTGTGCAACATAAAAAACATTCATGATTTACGTGTTTCGAAGAATTCGATCACTCTAACACATTATCAAGCATGTATATAATAGATTTAAAACACATTAAAAAGAATATAAAAGAAATATGTATTTCCAATATCACTTTATCGCTCATCGCGACGTACATGTTTGTACTGAAACAATGTGTTATAATATATATGTGTATGCGTTACGAAAAGATCGAGTACTTTATTATTTTACAATTTTATATAGAACTCATGCATATAAACGATATATAATGATCGAAACTTTATATAGATGAAATAATTTTAACATCGTATACGAAAATTTTCAAAGTCGTTTTAATACACGAACAGCCGAAATAAGACTAAGTCCCAAATGTTCAATTATGTTACATACAACATTTAATCATAAAATATTACGTTTTCTTTATATTTTAAGATTAATTGTTTTTAAATGTTTAATAATATACAATTTATACATTAAAAACGTTCTAAATTGGAACTTATAAAATTTTTGTAATACACGAACTGGTCTCTGAGTTACCGAATGTCAATTTCTCGCCCTCGCATATATAGGAGGTGTGGCGATGTGGGTGCAGTCGCTACGTGTAGGTAGGGCGTCGATGAGAGTTTTGGTTTATAATATGGAAATATCATACCGTTCTCGTGATGGTTGATATTATATTAATGTATATCTTTTTGATATATGATATATTGATGACATTTAAAAAAAAATGTCATATCGTTTTATATGAAAAAAAAAATCATCGCCGTCTTCCATGACGGTGACGATATATTATATGTATATATATATACATATATGAAATGTTGACGATCATGATGATGATGATGATATACATTATAAAAAAATCCTCCTAAAAACCCCTACTCCGTCGACAACAAAAATTCACTCTGTGTTGACCGCCGACGGTCGTCGCGTAGTACTTGACTATACATAATTACTTCGTGTTTCGCACAAAGTGTTATAATGGCTGGTATGAAGCGTGATCGTTCTAACGGGGTCTTATTTGTACAAAATTTTGCTTCCGTCGCGTCCGCGCTTAAGCGTGGCCGACGGAGACAATACCTCAGTAGATAATCCGCCCGAAATAGAATCTATTGGTACTAGATCTCTCTAACACCGTGCGATGATACCGATGTTTGACGTGTCGTATTTGTTAACGCTTATATGACATTGTTAACCGATATTAAAGGTGTAAGATCTCGTTATAAAAGTAACGATCAACAACATGAAACTTTTTGATGCGTTCAAAATGTTTTCATAATATGAATGATGATGATAAGAAAGAGAAGGAGGAGGAGGAGAAAGAAGGAGAGTAATATGGGTGTATATTTCAAAGAAAATATACAAAAATGAATAAATAAAAATAATCAGGCCACCGTTACGTGCCCTCGCTTCCTATATCACAATATAAGAGCGAACGCGTACGATGCGCTCTCGATTTGAGAGCTAACTAAAATTAGCTAGCTCCCTGGTTGATCCTGCCAGTAGTTATATGCTTGTCTCAAAGATTAAGCCATGCATGTCTCAGTGCAAGCCGTATTAAGGCGATACCGCGAATGGCTCAATATATCAGTTTTGGTTCCTTAGATCTTACTCAGTTACTTGGATAACTGTGGTAATTCTAGAGCTAATACATGCAATCAGAACTCTGACCAGTGATGGGATGAGTGCTTTTATTAGATCAAAACCAATCGACGGAGGGCCTCGCGTCCGAAGTCGTTAATTTTGATGAATCTGGATAACTTTTGCCGATCGCATGGTCAAGTACCGGCGACGCATCTTTCAAATGTCTGCCTTATCAACTTTCGATGGTAGTTTCTGCGACTACCATGGTTGTCACGGGTAACGGGGAATCAGGGTTCGATTCCGGAGAGGGAGCCTGAGAAACGGCTACCACATCCAAGGAAGGCAGCAGGCGCGCAAATTACCCACTCCCGGCACGGGGAGGTAGTGACGAAAAATAACGATACGGGACTCTTACGAGGCCTCGTAATCGGAATGAGTACACTTTAAATATTTTAACGAGGAACAATTGGAGGGCAAGTCTGGTGCCAGCAGCCGCGGTAATTCCAGCTCCAATAGCGTATACTAAAATTGTTGCGGTTAAAAAGCTCGTAGTTGCATTTGTGCGCCGCGCTGTCGGTGCACCGCATCCGCGGTGATACTGACACGTCTGCGGAGCATATCGTCGGTGAGCCGGCGGTAAAACGCCGGTTCAATATCAAAATCCTATCGCGGTGCTCTTCAGTGAGTGTCGAGATGGGCCGACAATTTTACTTTGAACAAATTAGAGTGCTCAAAGCGGGCTCAAAACGCCGCTTGAATATTTCGTGCATGGAATAATAGAATATGATCTCGGTTCTATTTTGTTGGTTTTCAGAACTCCGAGGTAATGATTAATAGGGATAACTGGGGGCATTCGTATTGCGACGTTAGAGGTGAAATTCTTGGATCGTCGCAAGACGAACATCAGCGAAAGCATTTGCCAAAGGTGTTTTCATCAATCAAGAACGAAAGTTAGAGGTTCGAAGGCGATTAGATACCGCCCTAGTTCTAACCGTAAATATGTCATCTAGCGATCCGCCGACGTTATTACAATGGCTCGGCGGGCAGCTTCCGGGAAACCAAAGATTTTGGACTCCGGGGGGAGTATGGTTGCAAAGCTGAAACTTAAAGGAATTGACGGAAGGGCACCACCAGGAGTGGAGCCTGCGGCTTAATTTGACTCAACACGGGAAATCTCACCAGGCCCGGACACCGGAAGGATTGACAGATTAATAGCTCTTTCTTGATTCGGTGGGTGGTGGTGCATGGCCGTTCTTAGTTGGTGGAGCGATTTGTCTGGTTAATTCCGGTAACGAACGAGACTCTAGCCTGCTAAATAGGCGTCGTCATTTAGGTGTGAATGATTTCGGTCGTTCAACTCACTGACGGCGTATTAAAATTCTTCTTAGAGGGACCGGCGGCTTCGAGCCGCACGAGATTGAGCAATAACAGGTCTGTGATGCCCTTAGATGTCCTGGGCCGCACGCGCGCTACACTGAAGGAATCAGCATGTTCTCCCTGGCCTAGAGGCCCGGGCAACCCGTTGAAACTCCTTCGTGCTGGGGATTGGGGTTTGCAATTATCCCCCATAAACGAGGAATTCCTAGTAAGCGCGAGTCATAAGCTCGCGTTGATTACGTCCCTGCCCTTTGTACACACCGCCCGTCGCTACTACCGATTGAATGATTTAGTGAGGTCTTCGGACCGACACGCGGTGGCTTCACGGCCGTCGGCGTTGCTGGGAAGTTGACCAAACTTGATCATTTAGAGGAAGTAAAAGTCGTAACAAGGTTTCCGTAGGGGAACCTGCGGAAGGATCATTAACGTTATATAACATCCGATATCGATCAGATATCAGAGGATGATTATAATAATATTATATATATCCAAGTGACACAACAAATAATAAATAAACAAAAGAGATGAAGGGGCGGCATCTCAGTGAAAAGAAATATATATATCTCAAAACAAAAAAAAAACTCTACACAAGCGTGTTATGATGTTTTTTTTTTTTTTGTAATTGAAATGAATAATAAAAATATAAAAGATGTAAGGGGCGGTACATCTAAACAGAACCATGATACACACATACACAACATACACATCGATGATACGCCTGCCGTGTCATTGTTGCTGTTTTGTTGTTTGTGATGTAAAAATGTGATGAGATATAAGATGTGAAGGGGCCACATCTAAAAAGTAGATAAAACAAAAAATCTCTACGGAGATCAATAATGATACGAAATTGAAAACGATTTGACGGATAAACCGATTCATTAGCGTCCCTTCCTTATCCGATACGCACATAGACAATACGTTTATGTTAAAACCAGATAACGTTGTAACTCGAAAGCGATATACTAGATATCATTGATCCATCCTATGTTTCTTAACTCTGGTAGATCTCATTTGACATAGACCGGTAAGAATCCGCGCCGCGAGTCTCTTGACGACTACTCAAGACCTTAAAAAGTCTAGTCCGAGTTCTGTTTACTTGGTTGGATCAAGGGCGATTAGAGTGAACGTAGTTCTGGGCGTTGACGATAATATGCTGTGGTATATAGCGCTACTATCATTATCTTGTCATTTCGTTAATTCGTTAGGGAAACTCTTGAGTTATACTATGCGGTCCGGTGGATTAGTTGTTTACCGTACGTTAACCACACGGGTAAATCCGGTGGGTCGGTTAGTCCACTTGGAAGAGAACGTGGTGGTGATACGTTTCGTTTGAAATACAGTTCACGCGTCTTTCTATGTGTCTCATCATATCACATTGTATGTGAAATATGTATGTGCATACGTAGATATGACCGTGTCCGTAGGGAAAATGAGACGTATTGCAGCGTTATATAAATGGCAACAAAACCCAATATGCGCACGATTGCCCTCTTTGTTTTTTTTTTTTTTTTAAAAAAAAAGAAATTTAAATGGTGAACGTGTCGCCGTACACATACAATATTTATATAAATCACTACCCTGAACGGTGGATCACTTGGCTCGCGGGTCGATGAAGAACGCAGTTAACTGCGCGTCATAGTGTGAACTGCAGGACACATTTGAACATCGACATTTCGAACGCACATTGCGGTCCGTGGAGAAAATATCCAGGACCACTCCTGTCTGAGGGCCGGCTGTATAAAATAATACACCACACTGTTCCAT